ACTCTTCTTTTAGTTAAATACTTTTAGTTAAATACTTTATATAGCATATGCAATTAAGACCTCAAAATTTCTTATTTTTAAAAATGCTTTTACTTAAAATTTTCTCTGTTGAGGCTTTATGGAAAATAAAAGTCTTTTTCGGAGTTTTAAATAACAAAATAGTATCTGATAACAAGACGATTCAGTAATACTTATCACACACGTCCTATGACCTCTTCCAACCTCGACATTTATACAAGTACAGGGTCATTCATTGTATGTTGACCTCAAGGTTATCTTAGATTATTTATTTTTGCTTTGAGATGATAAAACAAGAGTCATATATACCTACCTATTTTCCTAATTTTTTTACGTTTACTTATGATCTTTTATTCTGTTATTTATTTAGGTATAAGTTCTTGTGCAAATATCAAAAAATAATAATATACAATAAATTTTAGTTTTTTTAGCAATGCTTTTTCTCTTTTAATTATGTGAGTAGCTAGAATTCGTTGTAGGTCTTAAATAATCATCTTTTTAGTTTGGAAATATTCATTTGTATATGAAGCTGAATATCGTGGCTTTGTTGTGTTGTTTTTGTTAATAATTGTCACATAATGACATAATTTTACTCGAAAAACATTTTTTTCAATAATTACCAGCAGGCGACATGCTAAATTTACATTTTCCAAAAAAAAAAAAAAATATTAATACCCGATGTTTCTTTCAAAGTGACTATGAAAGATGTGAGTTCCACCAATTCATTTTTTTTGTGAGCCTGCATAAATGTATATTATTACCCAAAAATATATGCGAAATTTAGTACTGACACTTCAACTAGTTTAAAAGATATTAAAAAAAAACTGTTACCGAGTCATCGACAAGCTGCTGTATCTTTGCATTTAAACTTTTTGTGTTAATTTTTTTTGTAAAGAACACCCTGTAAAAGTGTAGCAATTGAATGCCACTTCGCACATTTTTTTCTTGAATTCAAATAAAATATTTTTAGAAATATCTACTATTATAATTTTCTTTAATTATAATTAGATATACATTTTTTATTAGCTTTTGCGCTTTTAAGTTACTTTAAAGATTAAGCTGGTTCAAATTAATTCTAAAAAGTTTCATATCACTTATCAAATGAACAGGTAATACCAGTTAGAACCATTTAATGACCATATAGGAATATCGTAAACTGTTTTAAAATGCAGGGTAATTCAAATTCAAATTTTCTGAAATTTTTACTAATAATCTGAAAAATTCATTTTTTATTTTGTCCTATAACTTATTTATGTTTCTAGACATAANAGGAATATCGTAAACTGTTTTAAAATGCAGGGTAATTCAAATTCAAATTTTCTGAAATTTTTACTAATAATCTGAAAAATTCATTTTTTATTTTGTCCTATAACTTATTTATGTTTCTAGACATAAGACACACTACTGTTTACAATGGCGATATTTCACTGCTTTTTAAGATGCGGTAATCAACTTTTTTATTGATGCTATATTGGTTTCCATATAATTAAATAAAGAAAAAAATACGTCTCCAGTCCAGTCATATGAAGGAAAAAAAGTAGATTTTAATTTGAGCTGAGAAACCAGTACAATATCCATAAAATAGAATAATTTTACCGCTTACTATGACTTACAATGAAAATAACATTAAAATTTAATAAATATATGATATTTCATAAAATTGTGTGACATACCGATAAAATCATAACTTTTTTGATCATTTATTTATACAAACCACCGAGCATACAACGAGGAAGTGTACATAGTAATTATGTTCATAAAGGTATCGTTTTAATCATAGCTCTTTTGTACCTACTTTAAACATTCTTTCTGAATCATGAGCACCTAAAAAAACCATACGAATTGATACAAATTCTGCATAATAAGAAAATAAAACTGTATGTTTGCTTGTAATTTCAATTGATAAAGTGCATAACACGTAGAAGATGATTTACTGACTAATCGACATTATATTATTTATGTGTTACCGATTTCAGTGCTAATACTAACTGCTAAGAATTGAGTAGAATTTGTTTGATTACTAATTTATTAATTAAACTACTCTTGCCACAACTCTCCTTCTCGCGTACGTCACTGCTAGTTATTTGATATTAAGGGCGCCGTATTCTTTAAATAGTGTTTTCCACAAAGACAAATAATTTCAAACATTTAATAACTGAATAATCTATAGCTTATCAAATAATAGGAATGTTATGTCATACCATCTGAGTATTTTCAAAGACGCCGAGTAAAACGAATAAACAGGTGCAAAAAACGATTAAACCATCAAGGTTTTAGGTACTGAAATCTACGAAAATACTAACTTTTTTATATATAACTCCACATGTAAATATTCTTATAACAATTACTTGCTTAGTCCTACATATAAAATTGTTTACTTTTATTTATAAGTATGTGAAAATAATTCTTAAAATGTGGGATTAGGATAACAGCAAAACCATGTTTTACAAACGCTTTTTTAAGTTATTATTTTATTTGTTTAAATTTAAATAATAACAATGAATAAACAGAACATCAAGGATTTTATTTTTCTGCTTACTTTTGTTCTACGTTTGACATTTCAAGATTTCAGTACCTAATAACGCCAGAAATTTGACTATTTCTCGGCCCGGGATATGGTCACCTTAAAGGGCATATATAACTTCGCCTTAATTTGAAGTCGCTTAATATCTTTAAAGTAAAAATAATGTTATAAACATAACAAAATCTAATACACAAGTAGCTAAAATGTGAATGCAAATAGCTAATTATTTTGACAATTCGTTTGCTTGGAGAGTCTTTTGTTCGAAAACAATTGCTATATTCTGAATAACCTAGTATTTTATACAAAGCAAGTTTAAGTAAATACACGTTAAACAAAGGCATTGACCTTGATTTTGAGGGATGTGCTACATCAATTTATATCGAATTACAAACCTTTCAAAAAGTATTAGTATCACATTAGACGCTAAACGTTGGAAGTTCTCTTCAACACAAATATCAATTCGAACAACTGTTATTAAGTAACATGTAATTTTTCTGCTCTTTGTTTCATTAATTGATTTAGTTTTAGTTACAAGCTAAACCAATACCTGAATTATTAGAAAATGAGAATATTTTAATATTGCAAATGGAACACTTATTAATGTTAATTATTGTAGTAATTTTGTTATGAAAAACAAAGAGTTCATGGAAGACAAATAGTTTTTTGTACGTGATATTAAATTTTCCTGTCTTTGAAGTACAAAGTACGTATTTATGTAATGATAAATTAAAAGGTGTATGTCAAAAACATGAGCTTTAACAAAAAATTCTGTCCAAAAAAAATGCATTTTCTAACAAATTCTTCTCGGTTCGATCGATACAGGTACGCATTTTTTTATAACAGATTTATCTTTTGTCTCAACATAAAATATCCGTATGAAATTCTGTTGAATACTAAAGGTATCATAAGATGCCTATTTGTGCCTCTTTTATTTTCCTTTTAAACAAGGAACATTTCCAAATAATTCTGTCTTTAGTCGATAATAATAAAATGGTACGTAATCAAATGTAATGTTTCCTTTTAAATACAGGGTGATTCACAACTTAAAAAAAATTGGGAATAGATGCAGCATGAGAAATGGAATCAATATCGTAAAAAAAAATTTGTAAAATCCTTATAGTTTCCGAGAAAAAAAATATTGAAGTTATAGTACATTCAACCACTACATAGCTGGACAACTGTAGTCTCTAGCGTCATTCGCCACGTGGCCTCAGCGACTCCGAATACTGAATTCGGATTTTGCAATCGTCGTTGCGATATTTACCTGTTATCTGTGGTGTTTACAATACCTAGGTTTTTAGTAGTTAGTGTCAAAAATGGGTAGTTAGTGTCAAAAATAGTTTGCGTGTACTCGGAGTTGATGGATATTGTTTTAATTTATGGTGAAGCATTTGTGNATTTTCAAAAAATAACCCATTCACGCTAAATTTGGTATACGGGAGTTTTCGGGATCGCTGATCACGGATCCGAGGTGATAAAATTTTGAACAATTGTTGTAACATCGGGTATGTCAAATGATTTTATTATTTAAAAAAATTCCTCATCATACACATAATAGAAAATTTTTGTTTGCTGTAGTCTAGGAAATGCTCCCAATCTATAGTTTCCTTGCCAATAGACCTCACTAGTACTACTCCAGCACCTTTTCCGCTGTCTGTTTATTTGTGGAGCCAATCGTACCAAGCACCCATTTACCATTATTACGATTCTTCTCAATGTTCAAATCTTGCATGGCTTAAGGAAGTTGAATTTTGTAAACGGTCTACTAGATCTTATCATACCAGTGGACAAAGCAATAATCTAGTGATTATTGCTTTGTAGTCGATAGCAGCAGTGATACTGGTGATACATCAATACAATACATCCAGAAATCCTTTAAAAGGATTCCTAAGGAATTTTGGATATTTAAGTTATATCATTTTAGGAGTAGGAGTAACGTTTTTCACTTGACTTATTGTTCAGTGAAAATACGTTACAATTCTTAGAGGGTAATTCACATGACTTTCTAACCCCCTTGTATTTATGTTGCATTTTCAAAACTTTAGTTTTTTTTAATGGAACTCTATAATAATAGATTCCTTTTCTTTTTGTAACTGCAGTGATGTACTCATTCATATACTTGCTTGGACAGTTTCCACGATATTTTGTTTCATTTATTGACTCTTCAGAATGGATAAAATCAAGATTGTCATGGAACCAGTGCATATTTAATTTTTTCTGTTATTAAATTTACTAAACAGATCTTTATTAAGAAAAATATGCTATCTTATAGAAAATGTTTTACCACATCGTATTCTAGACGATGGACTTTATTTTAAATAAATTATTCTTATGAATGCACAATTTTGTGAAGTAAAAAAGATAATGTAAATGACCTTGTACATATTAAATATAAAAATAAGTGTTACAAAATATATATTTCAGTATTTGAAAATATTATATTGATTTTTAAACTTACCTTGGGTAGTGGTTTCAACGGTTTTAAATGGTTTCCACCTCCTACACTAATTGTTGTTGGACCAAGGGCTCTGGGACCCTTTAGTAGGGGATTAATGTTGACCAACATTAAGTCTATACCACTTATTAACTCCTCTATTCTAGCGTTTGTCAGGTTACCAAAAAATTTATCCACGAGTTTTTGTTTCGTTGGCAAAAATTTTAAGTACTCAAAGTACACCGCATTCCAGTAGAATAGACAAGCGGTCACTCTCTCCCTAAATGTTAGCTTTCCAAAATATGGCACGTTGATGTCAGAATTAAGTACAGGGTGCGCAGGGTTGCCGAGGTACTGGTACATCTGAACAGTGGAATCTATAGTTGCAACCAACATGGTAGGGCAATTGTATATTTTTCCAAACGCCAGTAATTCTGGATAGAACACTTCAATAATTACCAAATCGAAACTGTATTTTTCTTTTCCATGAATCAAATCTTGCATTTCGGGTTGACTTAACTGGTCGTCGCAGATGTCTGAGAGTAGGTATAAGAAAAATTCCCAAATGTTCCAGAATCCCAAACCATCCTGTGCAGCTTCTGAAAAAGAGTAAGTGTCACTCCATATCTTGTAGGACCTCTTCATGTTAATCTCCTTTAAATTGGGCAAATCTGGATCATTCCTGGGATCTGTTGTTAAAAGCGTAACTTTGTGTCCCCTTAACGACAAATCTTTCCATAATTCTGTGAAGGCTACTTGGTGGCTGAAAGAAGGTGTAGGAACTATGGCTAATATGTTCGCAGCATTACAGATTTTTGCAAGAAATATGAGAAAAATCACTATTTTCAAAAACATATTAAATTCTGTACTTTGACTGGGATATTTACGTTGATTGTACTGCTTTTTATTAAAGAGTTTGTTTAAAAGATTACAACTCAGAGGCGTCTCATAATTTTGCTGCAGTTATTTTGATCTATCATTCTTAATTTTTTTAGCAATATTTTCATTAACCTTACTTTACATCAAATATATCTTCAATATTAATGCATTTACAACATACTATTGTCAACATCAACAATTCAAAGTTTGTTTTACGCTATTCATTAGTGCTGTTTTATTTAATTTTCAATTTGTTAATTTAACAAAGGGTGTCCTAAAATTCAAGCAAGAAGTTTTAATTAACTTTTTATTGATTCTTAAAGTATCCAGTACGTGGTTATGTATAAAATACCATATCGGGTAAATGGTCTCCACGGCTTTGCTAGCACACTCGCACTCTTTTGTAAAAATATTCCATGGCCGTTTTGTATAAATTCGATGATACAGCTCTCAATTTCGTCCTTCAAAGCAAGAGTGGTCGTGGGTTTGTTGGCATAAACCTTAGACTTCAAAGAATCGCCAAAAAAAGTCCAACGGCGTTAAATAGTATGACCTGGGGGACCAATTCTCATGACCAAAACCGGAAATTACACATATTAAACTGAATTATCATGTCGCGATAGTGAGCACCATTAACTGTTATTGGTATGAAGAATGGTCCAATGATCCCAAAATCACTTGTGATTTTCAGATGAAGATGATTTTGTTCGAACTATCAGCATCCACTTGCTGTTGTTCTATAATCCATTCAACGAACTATCTTCGCTCTGCGTGGCTAGTGGGTTTCAGTTCTTCTGTCAATTGAACATTGTAAGCATGAAGATCAAATCTTTCATGAAAATACGCTCTGGAGAACTACTAAAAATTTCCAATTCTTGACCACAGTGCCGAATTGATGTTCCTGGACTCTCAGCAACAGTCTCACGAACTGCTTCGATGTTTTGTGCTTAACGACTTGTTTGTTGAAGGACGGCCAGAGTGTTTAAAGTCACTAATTGATCCAATCTCCCTTGTGTGAATTTTGGGACACTCGACATTTTCATTTTTACATGTAAAATTATTCAGCAAAATTAAATTTTTAAAAGGAATTGTACAAAGTTGATGATGTAGGATATTATATCCGGTAGACAATGTGAATAATAATTTTTCCCCTACATTTACCGACCTTTTCCCAAGCATTTAATAAAATATTCATTTTCAGGGATATATTTCGGTAAAATTATTCCGAAGGTACTTATCCCAACAGAAACATTTTGCATAATTTCGCTTCCATAGTCAATCACTTTGATTAAAATGGTATAGGAGAGGACAATTTGAATAATTTTATCATTCAGGTGTAGAACGAGGAGACTGATCATATTGAATTACAATTTTACACTGGATATACTTGTGTATCCCTTACATTAATATTTTAACCATTTCTATCCGCCACTGATTTCAAATTAAAAATATACTATCTCTAAAGTCGTTGGGATCATGAGGTTAAATAATTATATTCATTAACGTACCTATCACGTTTTATATTCTAAGAATTATCTGTATACATTTGTTTAAAACGTGAAATATCTAAGTACAATAATTATTGTTATCAATATTCAGTGTTGCATAACTTTCAGATATAAAGTTTGATACAGTGTGTCCGCGTTCAAATGATTTACTTTCTTAAAAATATTTAAAATTATGTATTGCATAAAACTTTAATAATTATATTGAATGTCACTATTTTTTTTATCGAGTTAGAAAGTATAAATTATTTGTTATATTAAAACAACAGCAAATATTTTTGTTTTGTACGACAGTCACTTCGTTTCCAAGGCGTAAAGATTTACTCAGTATTATATTTTCAAAATTTTAACCCAATAAAAATAAATGGTATTTTACATTTACATTGATATCAATGACGCTCAGTCATTGACGAAGTGACGCTATGTTGCCAAATTGCAAATAAATTTCAAAATTACATGCTTTTTCACTTTTTTTACTATCCATGAAGATCTACACGACATATCGGAAAATTAATAGTTTTATGTTGTAGACAATTAATTAAATTACCTACAATTTAAGGTAGGCCACTTTTCCCTTATATGTTAACTGTAAAAAAAAGTTCAAACGTGAAAAAATCAGTTTTTGAAAACTGCGCATTATTTATAGAAAAGACAGTCAATCGAAAGACCAAAATGTATGTCAAAGGCCGATTCGATTGACCCTGAAATTGTTGCTCCAGCTATTTATTAATTAATTTCGTTCATTTTTTTCGCAAGTGTTTAATTACCAAACGTTAATTTTAGAAGTTGATATCGTAAATATAGGTTCTAATGGATCCACAGAAACGTATCGTAAAAGAAAAATTTCAAATAGTTGAAATTAAGTTGTCCTTTACAACCAACAAAGTAGGACGTGCACAACAGCATTATAAACAAATTGTCTCCGGGTCAGGCAAAAACCGCTCGGGAATTCGCTCTTTTTGCATTAAATAGAGCTTATTTTTACGGCAACAACGAAAACTATGTAGTTTTTGTAAAATAGAGGCTTTTTTGTATTTTTTTTAATTTAAAAATTTAAATGTTCCTTATTTTGCATATAAATTTAAACTGAAAGATTTTTTTGAATCGACATTGTAAGATTCAAATAGGTCCCGCTTTCCTTTATCAATTAAAAAAAAAAACATCTATTTATCTGTTGTAGAAGCTGAGAAAAAGTCGATTGAAGTTGCGCGAGTGAATTATGCTGCTCCGCTCGCACAGTCCTCCCACTCCTCAATCTTTGACTCTGCTCGATTGCTGTGAAATGTATCAATCTTTTTTACATCAGAACAGTTAAAATACATTTCCGATTTAAACAAATTTTCATAGTTATATAATATTTCCGTCAAAAATCAAAATCACTTTTGATTGTTTTGTACAGTATCTTGTTTTACCGTAAACTCATTTCAACTTTGAGTTTTCATATCTCGATGACGATCCATCGTATCCACAAGTGGATTTTATTCGACAATCCTTCCTCTATTTGATCCTATAATTACATTTGAAGAATATGCAAATACGATAGCTCCAGCTCTAAATGTTTATAAGTATTTTTTCGGAGAAATTTTAAAAAAACTCTAATTGTTTCTAAAATGGATAAAATCGAAAATTTTTAAATGGGAATTGATAGTTGAGACTCCAAAGGGTACGTATAGAAATTGGGAGCTAAAAATAATAATTGGTTTTACCGTGAGAGAGAACTGAAAAATAAGTATAGGTAATTCTGTATTTTCTTAATTAACAATTCCATTATGCGAAATCTACCCGGCCGATTTCGATGAAAAAATTTCAGCAATACTACCAAATCATGAAATACTCAGAACCATACTATTTATATGGCTGCTCTAAAGTCAAGGTCCGAAATAAATTATTCTACATAATATTTAGAACTATTTCCAACAAAAATTAGCGTTACTATATGAAACATCCATACAACCTACTTCTAAAACAGATATCGACTGGACTAATTAGGAACATTAAATATCCAGTCAGATGTGGCTAAGAATATTAGATATCCACTGCACTATAAATATTTGGCGTGAGGAAATACTAAAATTGCTTCAATTCTCATTCAAAATATATTATTAAAAATCATAACATAATTTCCACTTTATCTTCAGAAACATTGTATTTCTGATAAAAAGATAATACTGTTGCGAAAAATTGAATTAATATGAACACGAAACCATACTGTATCTTAGGAAATTAAGTTAATATATTATTAGGTTTATCCACAAAAAATATACACAGTTGTTGTTTGTTCCAGGCTGCATATGTTAGGATATCCTACAAGCTAAGATATCGGTTTGCAGCGGGTTTCGTGAGCAGCGACGAATCCACCCAAAAAAATAGGCGCCAACTTCGTGGTCGACGTCTCCAGAGGACAAACCTCCTTCTGGGATCAATAGCTATTATTTTTTGTATCAGCTGGCTGCCACTTAACGTGTTCAACTTAATAGCGGACCTTTCAACTAGTCAGTCATTTACGTCCCAACCCATGATGGTAAGTAAATAGGTGCAAATTAAAATTCATCAAGGTTTACTATATTATGGAAAGTTTTATACACTGTTAGAAATATTAAAGATCTTATAATTGGTTAGTAAATTTGTACAGCGGTGTTGTATCATTTTCATTTCAGTAGAACTTAAAGAGGCATTACGTTTTAGGATTTTTATAAAGCTAATATTTTAAGTTACAACATCTTCTACTACTTCTTTTTTAAACAATAAGTATATTTTTTATTGTTAGTCTCGTGTTTTTACGTCACTTCAAAACTACGAAAAGCTACGAAATTACACACTAAGCTTACAAAAAATAATTAGTTAATTAATGGTAATGTCACACACACGTAACAAAAAAGTGACGTAAATATAACGAAAGGATAATTATAATACATACGGACATTAATTTTCGACCGATACTTCATCTAAAGGCGGTTTTCCACTAAACGGACAAAACAAAAACAAAACGCAAACTTGTGTCGAATAAAACAAAACTGTAACTTTTCGCAAACTTTTTGATGACTGGCGTGTTTTGCGACAGTTGGAGTTTTGTTTTTCGGGTCCCGCTTGGTCACATCAAAAGGTTTCGACGTGTTTAGAAACTCAAGTCTGTTTAGTGGAAACGGTCGTGTTGTATTTTCCATTTAAATGATCCAAATGTTGGCGTTTTCTTCTTCCCAAAAACAATATTTTAATCATTAATGAATTATAGCTATTAGAAAATAAATGTGTACGGTTAAAGTGTTTACTTGGCTAGGATACAAACTAACCAAGTAAACACTTTAATCATACAAATACCACGAACTACATCGATGGATATCTAGGAAACCGCTCGAAGGATTTTTTTTAAATTGTGATGGCGTGATACGGACTGTGGAGCCTACCAAGCTAAAATATTTTCAAGGTCATCGTATTTCCGGTTATACCGGAAGTTAATATTAACTTTCTTATTTTAAATGAAACCCCTGTATATAATTGCAAAAAAATTAGGGGTTTCCATTTAAAAATTTCGAGTTTTCCACATACTCTGAACTTCATATTCGATAATTTTTTTTGACCACCTTGTATAAAAACTGAAAAATTTTCATGTCAAATTCGATAAAGTAGGTCTTTCTCTACAAAATGTCCAATTTGCACAAAAAAATAAACCGGGAAAACTAAATTTTTCTGACAGTCTGCATCTGTAAATTTTTGTTTAAAAATCGAAATATCTCGGAAACGGTCAATCCTAAGTATGGAGTGTCCTATATGTTTTCAACTTAAAAATGGATGATATTTCCAAAAATGCAATAATATACACGGGGTTCCATTTAAAATAAGAAAGTTAGTATCGACTTCCGGTGTAACCGGAAGTACGATGACCTTGAAAATATTTTAACTTGGTGGGCCACACGGTTCATATCACACTATCACAATTTCAAAAAAATCCTTCGAGCGGTTTCCCAGATATCCATCGATGGAGTTCGAGATGGGACACTCTGTAGACTCACTTTTTTTCTAAGGACTTCAGTATAAACCAGCCATAACTAAGAATAAAAAAATCTTCTTTAAACATGTTGGTTGGTTATTGGAAAAATGTGTTCTGACTTCCTCGCGACAACCAGTGGAAAAGGACTGAAAACAAAAACAAAACTCGAACAAAATGTAGCCCGCTTGATGGAAACAAGAGTTTTGGGTTTTTACAGTTTTGTTTTTGTTTTGTTCTAGAAAACATAAACAGGACATAAACTCAACTGTCCGTTTAGTGGAAAACCGCCATAATATGTCACTATTAATTATTTGATGTTTAGCGCATTATGTCAATGTCTCGGGGTCATTGATTTTATCATATCACATAGGATCATTGAAACTGGTAAAATTGAATTTATAGTATTAATGATTACACTGATTAATACAATGCTAATCACATTAAATTGTTGCTATTGTAGGTATTAATGTACTTTGTACAGGGTTAGTCACTATAATCTGACTAATTATTGTGGGATTCTTATTGAAATTACAAAAAAGTTTTTAATACAAAAGTTTTAGCTTTTTTATGAATTTTTATACAGTATTAAAAAGAACAATTAAATGGAAATAAATTAAAGAACATTTTTTTTTTAATTGTAACTTATTTTAAAAATATATAATGTGTTCCTTGATTCAGGCGAAGGCACACGGAACAAACAAATAACTTTGACAGAAGTTTATTTATCATCATTAATTTATTTCCTGTATCAAACTATTTTAGCAAAGAAATAATGTTTACTGAGAACGCAAAATTTGAAGTTATCCGTTTATTTTACAAGAATAATAATAATGTGAGTGCAGCGCGCGCCGAGTATGCTCGTTTGCATCCCGAGTTTCCAATTCCATCTCGAGCTGCATTTTACGACATTGAGCGACACTTTAGAGAAACAAAATATCTTGGAAGACAGAAACGAAGAATTGTTCCAAATGAAGAATTAGAACTACATTACTATATTTTCGAGTTAAGCAAATATTCATTCGAGATTTACCATGGTAAATTCAAATATTAATTATTGTAGAAAGGCTACAAGAGTCCATAGTAAATGCTTCAAGACAGTTAGAAATAAGCCAAAGTAAAATTATTAGAACGTTACATAAATATAAATACCGCCCATATAAAACTGTGTCGGTCCACTCACACTAAATAAAAAAAATTCAGCGATTAGAGTACTGCAAAGAAATACTGCGCATGAAAAAATAAATGGCGACCTAAACTATTTTGATAAGATTTTGTGGACTGATGAGGCGACTTTTACAACAGCTGGCATTTATAATAGAAAAAATACTCATACCTAGGCAAATGAAAATGCTTACTGTAATAGGGAAATTTCAAGTCAAGGATGCACATCGTTTAATGTTTGGTACGGAATATGAAGAAATAAAATCAGTGGCCCACTATTTTATGAAGGTGCTTTGACTGGGGACAGATACCTGCATCTTCTTGAAAATCAAATAAAAAACAAATTGGAAGACCTGCCGCTGATCGACTATACCAATTAATTTGACACCAAGAATAGAACTAGGAGAAAATATTCCATAGCCTTCAAATACCCAGGCCTTACACGCATGGACAGTTTTATGTGGGGTTACTTAAAAATCGAGGTTTATAAGGAAACTAGTGTAAATTTAGATGAACTAAGACATAAAGTTGATCAATGTATATAAAATGTAAGTGAAATTACTTCCCATTTCACACTAAATGCAGTTCTGAAAATTAATGAGGATTATACGAAGTGCATCAATAATAATGGCGGTCACATTAAGCATCTGTGACCATTTGTGTATTAATTTTTTTTATTAATTAGGTATTAAAATTCTGTTAAAGTTAGGACTTGTTAAAGTTAAGAATTATTTTTATTATTATAATAAAATAAACTTAAAATTTTTCGTTCTCACTAAACATAATTTCTTTGTTAAAATTGTTATAGGAAATAAATTAATGATGATAAATAAACTTCTGTCAAAGTCATTTGTTAGATCCGCGTGCCTCGTCCATAGCCACTACGATGCGTCAGAGATAAATTTGCCTCTTGTTTTTTCAAAAATAGTTTTAAACTGAAATATGTCGAAAAGTCCTGAATCAGACAGTAACATATTATATACTTTTGAAAAGGGAAGAATTTAACGAAGCTAAGTATGCACTAATATATAGGGTGTTCCATTAAAAAAAATCTTTAATTTAGTGGTTTCCATTATTCAATTGTTTTTTCTAATAATTCATAAAAAAGCTAAAACTTTTTTATTAAAAACTTTTTTGTAATTTCAATAATAAACTCAAAATAAGTTGTTAGATTATAGTGACTAACCCTGTACATTACTTAATTAGTACTTTGCGTTGGGCAACTTAATATAGACATTAATACCAGTACCTTTAAGTTTTGATGATTATTATAACTAAATGATCAAACGAAGTTACCTTAAGTGAATTTAATAATTATATAAGTATCCGGTCCAAAGATATCACTGAGATTAACCACGCAGTCTGCCTTTGGGTGATCCCTGTGTACTTTAAAGTAAAGACTCGCGCATCTGTTTCCTGTACTTCCGCCTATTCCTATGTAGATCATAGATCAAAGAAAAAATAAATATATGTTGCATATTTTTAATTATGATTGTCATAAATTAATAGGAAGAAACATAAACTTCCTGTAGAGAAACATTATGACTCTTTACTAACTGAAAGAAGTAGGTACCACGGCTGGTAAGGCCAATATGATGTCTTCATGCTAGTTTCAGCTTATTTTGAGTAATGTTTTGTAGTGACTTTCAAGCAAAGACGAATGGAAGAATTCTTAAAGGTATGAGGATGATTCGTCACGATGCATCAGTTGTGAATGAACCCGGATCTCTATGAAACGATACACATCTTTTGCGTTTATAACTTTTATCAACTCATCAACTTCCAAAGTCTCACAAAATGTTGAAGAATTTTTTCATATGCATTCCATGACAAAGAATCTTCGTCCAGTCTTAGCATTCTGATGGCAAGATCCTTCATCTATTGGCCAATTATTTTCGGAACTCCAGATCATTTCTGACCTTACATCACTACCAATGATACTCTAAAGACTACGTATTAACATCAGTGATATCGAAGGAGTAGATGCGAAATTTAAGATTTGTTTCTAACGCAGTTTCAAACTGTTTTCAAGTTATCAGATATATTCGAATTATGTTGTCACGTACTTCCAGCCAGTTTAAGGTCCCGAAACAATTGGTCAAATACGTCTGATAATTTCAAATCAGTCCCCAACGGCTGTGGAAACAAACCTATAATGATTAAATACTTTATAGAGTTTGTCGTAAACGTTAGTATAATAATAATAATAATAATTGGAATATCAATAATCATTATTGTACTTAATATAAAACATATAAGGTAACTTCATTGCAAGCAAAAATGTTCACATAAACATAGCCTCAGTAAACTCCTTCTGACTTATTAGTCAAGGCGGTATCTGTATCGGGTTGGGTAAAACGCATATGATCGGA